AGTAGTATAGGTAGTATAGTAGTAGTAGTAGTAGTATGTATAATATATAATGTAAGTTGTAGTAGTAGTATAGTATAGAAGTAGTAGTAGAAGTAGTGGTTGGTGGTGGGTTGTTGTGGTGGTGGTGGTTGTGGTGGTGGTGGTGGTGGTCGTAGTAGTGGTAGCGAGAGCAGCAGTAGCGTAGTAGTCGCAGTAGTAATTTAAAAATTAGCCTGGCGAAAACCCCAACCAGATGCATTTGTGAGAACCGCCATTGTGAATAATTTCTTCGGTGGCGCTCCCTATGGGGCCACGAAGCGCTGTACTTGGTGGGTGATACGCAGGGAACAAGGGCTGTGCTGGGTGGTGGCGGACGCATGCGGGCGGTGCCAGTGGGGACTTCGGTGGAGCCCCGTTATGGGGCCACGAACACGGTACTGGGTGGGCGAAACGCAGGGGGCAACGGCTGTGCTGCGTGGTGGCGGACGCATGCGGGCGGTGTCCCTGGGACCTTCTGTGGAGCCCCCTATGGGACCACGAAGCGCTGTACTGGGTGGGTGAAACGCACGGAGACAGGGCTGTGCTGGGTGGTGGCGAGCGCATGCGGGCGGTGCCATTGGGACCTTCGGTGGAGCCCCCTATGGGGCCACGAAGCGCTGTACTGGGTGGGTGAAACGCAAAGGGTAAGGGCTGTGATGGGTGGTGGCGGGCGCATCCGGACGGTGCCACTGGTACCTTCGGTGGAGCTCCTCCCATATGGGGCCACGAAGCGCTGTACTGGTTGGGCGAAACGAAAGGAAAAAAAAGGCCTGTGTTGGGTGGTGGCAGGCGCATGCGGGCGGTGCCAATGGGGAGTTCGGTGGAACCCCCTTATGGGGCCACGAAGCGTTGTACCGGGTGGGTGAGACGCAAAGAGCAAGGGCTGTGCTGGGTGGTGGCGAGCGCACGCGGGCGGTGCCACTTGGCTGTCGGTGGAGCTCCCTATGGGGCCACGAAGCGCTGTACTGGGTGGGAGAAACGCACGGAGCAAGGGCTGTGCTGGGTGGTGGCGGGCGCATGCGGGCGGTGCCACTGGTGGCTTCGCTGGAGCCCCCTATGGGACCACGAAACGCTGTACTGGGTGGGTGATACGCAAGGGGCAAGGGCTGTGATGGGTGGTGGCGGACGCATGCGGGCGGTGCCACTGGGGGCTTCGGTGGAGCTCCCTATGGGACCACGAAGCGTTGCGTTGGGTGGGTGAAGCGCATGGAAG